CGACAGAAGGGTGCATGGATGAGGCGCGTGGTCTCTGTTTACGCGGCCAGAAGTATTGGTTTGTTTCAATATCGGCTTAGTTTCATGGATGTACGTACAATGTTTTCATGGCTGCGCCCGCATGGCTGCCCGACCGAAGGGGGGATGAGACGCGTGGTCTCTGTTTACGCGGCCAGAAATATTGGTTTGTTTCAATATCGGCTTAGTTTCATGGATGTACGTACAATGTTTTCATGGCTGCGCCCGCATGGCTGCCCGACCGAAGGGTGGATGAGACGCGTGGTCTCTGTTTACGCGGCCAGAAGTATTGGTTTGTTTCAATATCGGCTTAGTTTCATGGATGTACGTACGTGTTTTCATGGCTGCGCCCGCATGGCTGCCCGACCGAAGGGTGGATGAGACGCCTAGTTTCTGTTTACGCGGCCAGAAGTATTGGTTTGTTTCAATATCGGCTTTTTTTCATGGATGTACGTACATGTTTTCATGGCTGCGCCCGCATGGCCATGCCCGCCCGAAGGGTGGATGAGACGCCTGGTCTCTGTTTACGCGGCCAGCATCGCGCAGACTCGGCCGACCAGAGCGCCTGCTGACATCACAGAGCAACCATTTATCAAGCGCCAAGTCGGCTCCCTTGCCTCTGCCTCCTCTCGCTCGCCCTCCGCCGCCTCGCGTCTGTCAGTCTGCTTGCCTTTTGGTTGGTCGGAGAACGAGCCTGGCTGGCTGCATGGGGAACAGCCCCGGCTTTCATCGGCTTTTTTCCTTTCATGTGGAACTCCTGATTTACCCAGCGAGGTTGGCTCATGTATAACGCACGAGGAATGCAGGCCTATAGTAATATAGCCATATTTTCAGAGCCTTCATTTCGAGTGATATAGGCCTAAAAATAAATTATGTAACCTATGAGTTATTTTTAAATACCGAACAAATTTTATTCGACTATTTAGGTGAGAAAAAGTTTCTGATCAAAAATGAGAATGTATGTGCAAATTATAGAGGATTAAATCACTTTATTAATAATTATTAGCTGCTGAAATTTATTGATGCCCATGTGAAAGATATAGTACTCACACAGTAAAGTGTTATCATCGTTTTTCAAATCTGAAAAGGTGGTATTTTCTAATGGTGATTGATTAATGGGATGTAGATTTTGGTGGGCAGATGGCAGGGAGCCTCGTGAGGAGAGGGAGACTCGATCGGACTTACCAAGAATTGATTGCATTTTCCCGACGCACGGCGAACTCCAGAGAATCGCTGGAAATAACGAATGTTTTTTTCTGGCATCCATATGGAAATATGTGAAAAAATTGAGTGAACCATGTTTAGATGTTATGTTGCATGTAGACAAGCGTAAAAAATAGCTAGCTGGGAAAGACAGCTACGCTAACAGGCTTCTTATATCATGAAAAACAATCGCCTGGAAATTTTTGTAGAAACGTCACCTCTAAAATAGAATGGACAACAAATTTTACATGTGAAGGGAATTATGTGTAACCCCGAAAAATATTATGCTGTGTGATATAATTGGTGTCTATAATAAACGTTAATTGCACGAGGTGAGCCAAGTATTTGATTCATGTGCATTTCGTTGTTCAAAGGTGGAAAACTAACAAGGGCGTTTATAATTTTCTTATTCATTCAAGTATTTAATTCAAAAATATTTTTTTAGCAGGACATTAATTATCGCTTGCTTAGCGACGGCAACACTTGTTATTCGAGCGCTTTAATAATTATTCTGTATTTGAAGCTAATTTTCCTTTTCTACTGTCTTTTCCATCGAATGCGGATAACAAAATTCTAATACAGGTTTCATAATATTTTTTTCGCGTTTAATGCACTGCGTGGAGTTTTTCCACTACTCCCATATAGTTTCATATGAGTATATATAGCGCACTCTGGATCGATCGTGAACTGATTCATGGAGTGAATTAAAAATACTGCTGAGTCATTATTGGCCGAGGGCACGCCATTCTATTGAGGCACCGAGAAACTCGCTTTCCATATCCAAAAATCATTGGCGTTATTTTGGTTGTCACTGAAAAGCATTTTCTCGGCCAATCATAAATATATTACAATTGGATATAGATAAATAGTCAGGTATCGATCGATGCCGCAATCCAACACAATCGGCCGTATCAATTAAGCGATCAATTCTTGAAGAGAACATACAGTGGAACACAAGAAGAGTTGGTTGCTTCTTTTCCCCGTTTGTTCATTATTATAGCTAGCACTGGTACTGCGAGATCGAGACGCATGCTGCAATTAAGAGAGCTTCTTCTCTTTATCGATTTGTTTTCGAACTCCAATTAATCTATTGTTCTTAAAAGGTTTCATTTAATTAGGACATTCTGGGTTATTTTTAGGCACGTCAGATTTTCGTGGATTGTACGTAAATTGTTGGATATTTTGAGGTCGTTTGATGAAACGAATATCCCTGTTTAACGTACCATTCTTCTAACCAAATATCAATTCTTAACGCAATGAGTCATAGCAATTGACGATGAGGAAATATTCCTTAAGATGGAAAATCGAAACTTATACATATATAGAGGTATATTATTGAAAACTACTCTTAAGCATCGCTGATCGGATGTGGTGATCATTTGGTTAACATGAATAATTATTAACTATATTGATGGAGCCTGGTTATAATAGCCGTTATATTCTATGTCCACCTCGTATAAAATTATTTTCGCCCAGTTGAACTAAAACTTTGATTCTTAAAATATTTCTGTGAACAAATAAGTCCAAATTTTGCCGTTCAACTGCAATGTGTCACCGGAATAAAACACTGCCGAATTTGAAGCTGGCCTGGAATTTTCAATTTTATGTTAGGAATTCGGGGTGGCTTCTGCGAATATTGCGTATAATAACGCCGCTGTTATTGCATGGGGACGCGAGGCAACGTCGTTCGTTGTGCAGTGTGTTTGCTACAAAATACATGAAATTTTTCATGCTCTGCAACCATTAAAAACGAAATTTTGCGGCGTCCATTAGACAGTCTCATTAACGCCGCGTGTATCGCCGTAGTCGGAAGTCAAATTGTAAAAATTGAATTGTCATCGCTTGTCTTCCTGTCGTCTATAATCACGTCCCAACGTCACAAGCGAAAGTTTCTTAATGTCAATGACGAAAAAAATTGAGTTGTAGGAAAATGAATTCTTTTCCGATTAAGAAAAAAAATCATAGAAAAGAATTCGTAGAAAAGAATTCGTAGGAAGTTGGATAAAGTCTATCCATAATTTAAAAAAAAATCGCTTATGTTTGTTGGTGGTTTAAAAAATATCAATATTTTTTCTTGAACGATTGAAATTATATTTTCCCGTACTGAATATTGCGTTTGTGATACGAATTTTATATATATCTGCAAGCGTCTCATGTTCGGTAGCTTCTGAAAGTCAACAATTTGAAAACTTTCATATTCAAATATAGTTATTATTCATTCAATTCATGAAGGTTCAGGTGGATTCTTTGAAATTGTTAAAATGATTGCAGCTTTGGGTTCGGATTAGTTTAACAAATTGTTTACTGCAATTTTATTTACCTTATTTAATTTGATCATGAGTTCATTTCTAGCAAATAATGTCATTGCATGTGTTCACGTGTCAGCGACATGCGGCAGACACGGCAACATCATTAAAGGTTTTATCGAATTATTGCACAAAAAACGGCATATATCAGCAAGAATACTTTTCTAATTCAGAAAGTTTTTCTAACATTAATCTTTCAATAATAATTTAGTAATCAAAATTCATTGCTATTTTGCTTAAAATCTCTAAGTTTTCATGATGCATGAAAATTTTATGAATGATTCATGTAATTTATTAGTTATTCAACTATTAGTGTATATTCAAACCGAACAAAATTTCCAATATATTCCCGAATTTCAACATTCATGGAAATGGATGTGATTGATGTGATTCATGATTATGATTGGAATTCGGGATGTGATTCATGGATTCATTGAAATTCATCCCGAATTTCAACACATAAACAAAATAGAATTCACCGTATATATATATATATACAACTGTACAGCCGAGGGAAATCTTTAAGCGGGTTTCTAGCCGCCGGAGCGTCTCTGTTTACTCGCGCTTTTATCCGCAAAAGTGAAAGAAAATGGCGGCCAGGAGCAGCTGGAGCGTCAGATGGGCTAAGAGAGCTGCAGCCTTCAGGCGCCACAGTGTTGCGGTTGCGGCAAGAAAGTCACCCTAAGTTAATTTTACATTTGCAGTGCACATACTATGTGCATATGTCGCAAAAAAAAAGCTTTAAAAATATTGTTGAAGCACGGCAAGAATGTGTTGTGCTAACACGAAGCAAATATTCAGTGGACTAGAGAACAAATTTTGAGCAATGTTTTATAATTAACTAGAGGAAAATCAGCGATAATAGTCAATATTTTTGTCAATGACTGCAATTTTTGTCAGTAATTTTTTTTATGCAAGAAATAATAGACTAAACTAAATTTAACTTGTAATTCGCATAAGCATAATCGCTCATTTTTAATCCAACTATTATAAGAACATTGAAAGTTTACTTGTTACTCGGTAAATCATTTACGTCATTCATAGTGAATCATAGGCTATACAGGTAAATTTCTCCTAATTTCATTAAATTTAAATGGCCTCATTGCAGATTCTCAGTCTGCACCTGTCAATTATAGATTTCAAAGAAACCTGTAGTTCTCCATTGTTCCTGCTACCCTTCATTTAATATTAGCATATAAAGTTTTATTACCCTAAACCAACATTTCATTTATCCAATAATCATCATCATTTTTAATCAAACTAGTCTGTGATTATCGTCATAAATATCTTTCAGTTATATTGCCGCCTGCCTTCCAGACTGACACCAATGTTTGTTTTTTCCTGGTCAGTATAATACCACGTACTAGTGTCTTCTGCATTTTATGCTTATTTTATATGCTTTCTAGCTGTAATGTTTGGCTGAATATGATAGGTAATTATACTGTCCTAATAAATAATTTTTTTTCTCCGCAGCGAATGGCCAATACCAGCCGGGGTGCGAGCCGAAGCGCCAAAGAACTGCATACACGCGACATCAAATACTAGAACTAGAGAAAGAATTCCACTTTAACCGCTACTTGACGAGGCGAAGGCGGATAGAAATAGCCCATTCATTGTGTCTTTCTGAAAGACAAATCAAAATATGGTTTCAAAATCGAAGAATGAAATGGAAAAAAGATAATAAGCTACCCAACACTAAGAACGTACGAAGAAAGACAAATCCTGCCGGTGTTACCACAACGATCACACCCAAAAACCAACAGAACAATTCACAGAGCCAAAATCCATCTCAGGATTTGAATTCCCAGCAAAATCCAGGGCAGCAATCTCAACCTCAGTCGCAACAGGCGCCATCCCAGCAACAGATATCTCAGCAACCGACCGGGGCGCCTTCATCCCTGCTACAGCAGCAATCTTCTGCACCTAATCAGGCGACCAATCAACCACCACCTCACTTGCAGACCCATAACTCTTATCACCCTCACTTGGGTGGCGGGCTCATGTCCGCTGGTGACCTCGCTAGTATTGCAGCACCTTACCCTCATGGAGCCATGAAGCCCGATTACGGCTTAACGACCTTATAATGTATAGGATATAAAATATGGTTCCCCTAGGTTCCCCTGGAAATAACTGTTAGAAATTAGGTTACCAGTGAAAATATTATAAGGGGAACCTTATTTCTAACAGTTATTTCCAGGGGTACCTAGGGGAACCTGTAAGCTTTGAAATAGAGATTTCCCTCCAATTTGTCATTTGATTACAAATTTTGATTTAAATAGAGATTTCCCTCGAATTTGTCATTTTGATTACGAATTTTGATTTAAATAGAGATTTTCCTCGAATTTGTCATTTTGATTACGAATTTTGATTGAAATAGAGATTTCCCTCGAATTTGTCATTTGATTGCAAATTTTGATTTAAATAGAGATTTCCCTCGAATTTGTAATCTTTATTACAAATTTTGGATAAAAATAGAAATTTCCCTGGAATTTGTCATTTTGATTACAAATTTTGTTTTGATTTGTTGTGTAAAATGCGAATGTCAGCCTATGGCACTATATGCGTGATATGATATTGACGACTCTACTCAATTATTAAATAGTTTAAATTTTTGCAATTCCCATGAGTTTGACGTCTCTGCTAAATGTCGTCCTTAAATCTTACTCAGGTAAAATTGTTTCAGTATTTTTATAATGTCGGATATATGTTCTTTCTGGTATATTTACTAAGGAATTTCTTCCGAGAAAAATTCATTCATGAACAATTACGAACCATATAAAATTAATTAAACCGAATTTCATGGCAATTAAAATAACAAAACTATTACTCTATTTTTATTGCTTTAAATTTCAACTTTAAAAATTGAAATTCAACCCTAAATTTCAACCCTAAATAGTTGACTCCGTATTCGTTCGCAAAAAAAACTCCAAACTAAGCAACTCTAATGCGCACTGATGTGATCCGATCGGTAATTTGCATTCATTTCTTTCTTGGACGATTCTAAGTGTACCTATCTTATTTACTATATAGCACTTTCTTGTGTGTTTATGCCAATTAAAACTTTTGAAGTCAGCCATCATTGGCAGCTTTCATTTCAATCATACCTGCCTCATGTACATGATCGACTTCTGAAGAAATATTCGTGCATTTGCGCATGGACACTCCTAAAGTAGCAAGATTTATACTGTACCGATCGAAAATTATGAAATTTTCCCTGAAAAGAAGTAAATTTGACCATTTGACCGTCATTTTTATATTTAATAACAAATAGCAAACAGAATTTGTCGTCTATCTTTTCTCTGATTTGCTGTTTATATTTTGCTCACTTACTAATCATCAGAAAAATTAGAATAAAAGAAGTCGAAAACTATTGTGACTGGCGTATGTAAATTTCAAAATATGGGTTTGATAGTAACAAATAATTCCTTCAAATTTGTGCAAAAGAACAATTAACACTATTATTCTACTTAGATCTTGAAAATGAAAAGTTAATTTCTTTATCTTATCAACTCGACGAACAAACTTTCAGGCAATTGCTTGATGGGTATTGCTATCAAACTTTATAGAAAATTATACATTGCTTTTAAAATACACGTATGTTGATGTTCAATTTGAGTTTGAATCTCTGTGGCAACCATCAATGAGATAAATAAAAGTGTGAGCTGGCCCTAGTATTTTTATTCCAAATGATAAATGCCCGACATGGAACTATCACTGATAATTGGGCTGACATAATCTTTGTTCAGAGCATTGTCAGTTAACTTTAATATCGACCTAATGATTTGATGCATACAATAGATATATTTTTTTCGATTTATGTTGGCCAAAAATGAGAAAAAATAGAAAACATTTTCAATAAAGATATTTTTTCTTTAAAATCTATCCGCTGTCGGCATTTCTGGTAGAAATAATCTACTGTGTTTATTAATCTCTGGGTTCGCAAATACCAAGCCTAGAAATACACAAAGTCGCATGCAGGTAATAATTGAAATAGCAATGTATTTCATGCGAACAAGTTTTTAAAATTTACCTTATGCCGAATTATCTTTTCTACGGCATGTTCGTAGACACAGATAGTTCGTTGCTTAAAAAAGTAACACAATTTTTAGGATTTGTTATATAATTAAATGCCGTTTCTAGAATGCCTATATTAATGCGAACACTGGTCTACAGGTTCGGGAATGCATATGTCATACATAGAGGCGTTGGCCAGTTTTTATTCTAATGTATATATCATCACCAATAGTTATTTTTTCTCCTTGTACAAAAATCATTGAAAAATGTGTAAATAGCACTACATCGTATAATTATTTATTCTAATGTTTATAACTTACCCTACATTTCATAAAATGTGAAATAAATAATTAGGAGAAAATATTTGATTTTATTATCAATTTTGTTGTATGGTTTTGAATTCAGAAATTCCAAGTTCACTATATGTATTGTAAATGGTGAAAGACAATTTCTAAATGCTATTCAATTAGTGGTTCAGTTCGTCCTCCGCTACCATGATTATCATGAATCCTCGAAATGGAGTTGCTAGCAAGCGGCACGCTAACACAATGTGAAAATAAAGCATTCAAATCGAAATTTTCTTCTTGGTCTTTAATTTGTTTCCGTTTTATTGTGCGAGGAAATGGTCGATATTTGCATGCGTTCAATTCGAAGAAGAGTTTAAACTTCTTCATTCTATTTTTTCTAAGGATGTTTTCATTCTAAGCATCTGTACAGAATTCAAATTTTCATAAATTGTACAAAGTTGAAAGATTGCGTTTAGTTGTGAATAAAGTTTGAAGTAAATTAATCGAATCCATTTGGAGTTTTGTTTTCCTCCATCTTCGATTATCAACGGCAAGTACGAAATGCTATTATAATAAATCGATTGTTTGAAGAATCTTTGACGCAAGATACTCAATGAGTTTAAAACGGTACACATTGGTTGAGTTTAAGTTGAAATTTATTGTCCAATTTGGGAAGAAATCGGAATTGTATTCGATTTAATGCTCACCTTAGCCGTTTTTAAGCTAAATTTGGAGTATTTAAATTCAAAAAATAAAATCAAGTTCAAATTATTATTATTCTATATTGCATTATTAATATATTATTCTACTATTCATGAATAATCTCATCTTTATGATTATGATAAATTTTGTCTACAATTTCGACGTATTCACTTGCTAAGTTATTATGTCTCGTATTTTTATTTACAATTTGAAGCCAACGGGCTCTGAGTTCACACTTAAAAACTTCAGAAACTAAATTTGCCTTCATATTTCACATTATATATGAAGTACACTACCATATTATCTATGAAACACCCTTCGCAAATTTATATCGATAGCATACCCTGTTTCCTTACTCAGAAAGAGCATCTGACCTCCATTCATCGGGTTACGATGACACTATAATATATATGACAAAACATCCGTCAACCTACAACTATTTTTTAAAAAATGAATGAAACGAAAATTGAAAGTTTTTTCTCAGCATCAAGTAAATTAAATCGTCGTTGCTTTCGCGGCTTCAAACACTGAACAGGCACATTTTCAAAGAACCATTTTATTTTTGAAGAACCGTCAGTATAATGTCTGGGTTAAAGATTGCAAATTTTCCACTCATTGCATAAAAAAATAATAATATAAAAAATAAACATCGAATTCAGTACGTTTGATTGTTTATTATTGTGCCAATATACTGACTTTGTACATAACCATACATGTGAATGACTCCAGCCTAACTGATTTTTTAAACAATTTATCGGTATTATTTGACATTCAATGATGAGGATTCTTACCTTTTTGCACATTCACGACATATCTACTATTCGCATAAATTCCATAACATACTGCCGAATTATCTAAGGAACACGAGACAGTGTTAGACTGCCGAATTTTCTAAGGAACACGAGACAATGTTAGCAGTCAAACGCAAATTTAAAGAACATTTTAGCTCTAAAATAACGTGTTAGCATTTCATGCGGTGAATTTGACAGAAACTCACTAAATTAATCATTTTTTTACAATTTATATCGTTCAAAATTAACAGTAGAATAGTTATTGCTGTGAAACGGATCGTTATTTCCTTCGTAGCTAACAAGTTCCATACTTGCCAGGTGTGAATTCAACAACTTGAAAAAAAAACAAGAAAAATCAATGAATTGAAAAATGATAAATTGAAATGAAAAGCAAGAAAATAACAATAACTTAAATAGAAAAGCAAGAAAAAAGCAATCAATAACGGGAAAAAAATGAAAAATTATTAAGTAACTGTCTGTGAACGAGTGAAACAGCTGGTGATCCTGAGAAAATACTAATGAATTCATTTCTTGATTGATTAAGTTCCCGGCAACTTCTTTGTACTTCTTCGTTCAATGTTTTCCAGTTTTATTTCATCCAAAGTTGTCTTTGGAGCTGGATACGTATCCTTTTATGGTAGAGTTTATACGCACAACATTATTAAAGAGTTTCCATAAGAATATGGACTTATCGTTCGAATGGTAGTAGCTGTGGAAATTTCAAATTTTCAGGAGCAAAATTTTTGGCATTTACAAATAATCAATTTATATAATGCGATTTCCCATGGCGAATGAAGTAATTGAAGTTATTTTATGCGTTTGTTGGCTTTCTGCAATTTCACTTATACACTAACCAAATGCATTGGGTGGGATTTAGTATCTACATCATTCTTGATTGGAAAAATTTTAGTTCTCAATGGAACAATGTGCACCAACTAGGTTTGAGATTTACGAAGTATTGAATTTGAAGAAAGTGACTTATGGTCTGGACAAAAAATTTTACTACAAAGACAGAAATTTATGTGAAAACAATATCCTCATTTACTTAGAAAAATTAATCTCTCATTGAAATCCATTTTCCAGATTTGTTTTTGTCAGTGAATAGCATTTTTTAAATTATTCTCTTCTTTCAAATGACACGCTGTTATTAGGGGACGTTGTGCAATATTTGGTTATATTACAAATAGGCTGAAATAGCTAGAAGATATAATATATTTTCTAGTTTCGATTCTGAGTCACGTACATATGAGTAACATAACCTCGTTTAGCAACACCTTTTACATTGTCATTGCTCTATGATCCCCCACGGATGGTGGTCGTGGTATATTGTTCGTTCATATTGTGATTCTGTCTATTATGTGGTGGTTTTTATGAGACATCACGAGCATTGCTATTATCAGTTTATTATTTATATGAATAAATAAAAAATTTTGCTTTATCATTGTAGATGGAAACAAGTCCTTAATTTGTTAATTTATGTATTTACAAGAAGGCTCCGAACCGGAGACTAGATCAAGGTTAAATGGACATGAGTTTTTGCTAAGTGAACACACGGTTTAGTATTTGTTTTTCTAAACTTTGTACATTATTACCGTTTTCATTTTTAATTTCTATTCTCATTTGTTAACCACTATTCCCACGACACTGTGGCTCAATCGTTATATGGTTCCAGTAAAATTGCTGTGTACGAGATCGTAAACAATTCGCCCATATAATTGAAATGTTTACATTTTCCCTTAGATTAAATTGAGCTCTATAGTCGGAAAATATATCTTAACCAGGCATGATCATTTCCTAGAAGTGAACGGAGACTGACTCAATTGACTGTTCAGTCATGATCAGGCTCATTCTTTGTACAGGAAGACCCAGTCTCACAGACGAACATTTAAATAAGATATTGATTCCAATTAAGTTTTACCGTCCTATCGACACTAAAGATCTAGTCGACAACTTTTGACTCGTGTTCCAGCCATAGGATACGAGCGATAATTAGCATGTTT